CCATTCCAGGAAGGACCAAAAATTCACCCGAATTCACCCAGAACGAGGATTTGGCTTCTCCCAGGTGAGTTTTTGGGGATTCCCATGGAGCTCCAAGCTGGGATATTCCCAGGAATTTTGGGGTTTTTCTCACCTTTTGGGATGTTCCACATCCTTCGAAATTTCCGTCTCTCCCCGGAGCTGGAAAAATTCCTTTAAAATTGGGATTTTCCTCTTTTTTTTCCCTTTTTTTTTTAATTTTTAAATTTTTTTTTTTAGGATCCTCAGCAAGATGAAGGAATTTTAGCATAAATCCTTTTTTTTTTTTTTGCTGCTGCTGCTTTTCTCCTCGGCCCTCGACGCACGAAACGCAACAACCCCCACGCTTTGAATAATTTCCGATCGAAGCGAAGGAAAAAAAGCAGAAAAAAAAAAAAAATTGAGTAATTCAACCCCCCCCCTCAAAAAAAAAACAAAAAAAAACAGGAAATGAGAGGCCCTGGGCTGAAAATCTTCCTCTCAGCACCTGCCCCGAGCCTCGGGGCTCCGTGATCCCGGGATGGGCTCGGGCTCCCGGCTCTGCCTCCTCCTCATCCTCGCAGCTCTTTGGGGTACGTCGGTTCTCCTCGAGGATTTCGGGGCTTTTTTGGGTGGTTTTTTGTGGATTTTGGGGGGGTTTTGGGGGTGGTTTTGGAGGTGGTGGGGTTTTTTTCTGGATTTTGGGGGGTTTGGGGTGTTTTTTCTGGATTTTGGGGTGGGGTTTTTTCTGGATTTTCCTGGATTTGGGGTGGTTTTTTCCTGGATTTTGGGGTGTTTTTTTCTGGATTTTGGGGGGTTTGGGGGTGTTTTCTTCTGGATTTGGGGTGGTTTTTGGAGGTGTTTTTTTCTGGATTTTGGTGTGGTTTCTGGTTGGTTTTTTTTCTGGATTTGGGGGTGGCTTTTTCCTGTATTTTGGTGGTTTTTTTCTGTATTTTGGGGGGGTTTTTTTCTGGATTTTGGGGTGTTTTTTTCCTGGATTTTGGAGGTTTTTTGGGGGGGTGTTTTTTCTGGACTTTGGGGGATTTTGGGTGTTTTTTTCCTGGATTTTGTCGGTGTTTTTTAGGGGTGTTTAGGACTTTGGGGTGGAGACACTCCAGGTGGGGCGTGAAGAGAATCCCAAAAACTCTTCCAGGGAGAGGAGTGGATGAAAAAACGATCTTTAAAAATGATTTTCCAGCTGGAAAATTGAAGGATTGGGGGGAAACTTTGAGAGCCCTGAGGGGTCAATTCCACACTGAAGGGAGTTGGGAATTCCAGAGGAAAATTCCCAGCTCGGCTCAAATCACCAGGATGGGAGTTGGGTCCCAAGGAATAAAATCATGGAATGGTTTGGGTTGGAAGGAGCTTTTCCCTTTTCCCCTTTTCCTTTTCCCTTTTTCCTTTTCCCTTTTCCTGTTTCCCATCTCCCTTTTCTCTCTTCCCTTTTCCTTTTTTCCTTTTTTTCCTATCCTCATTTTTTCCTTTTTTGTGCTCCTTTTTTGTTCCTTTTTCTTTTCCTTTTTCCTTTCCCCGTTTCCTGTTTCCCTTTTCCCTCTTTTCCCTTTTTTTTGTTCCTTTTTTCCTTTCTTTTCTGGGGCAAAACCGATGGAAAAAGAGACTTTGGGAAAAGCGGGGGTGACACGGTGACTTCTCTGCTTTTGGGGAGCTCCAGATTCGGCTCCTCCTCCTCTTCCTCCTCTTCCTCCTCCCACAATTTCCTACAAAAACAAAATTTGTTTGCCCAGAAATGAGGGAAAATCTGACTTGAGGAAAATGTGAACGGAGGAAAATCTGAATTATTGGCTCGGAATAAACAACAACAAAGAGGTTTTGGAGGGAAAAAAATCGTCCCACGGAAATCCTGAGAGTGTGGGAGATGAAACCTCTCAATTTTTTATGGGTTTGGGTTTTTTTCTCCCCCCCCAAAAAAAACCCCAACCTGGGACCAGCTCAACCAGAAGGAAAATGTGGGATTTGTAGCCAAGCCCGCTCCCAGGTGGCTGCAATTCCCAAAATTCTGGGATATTTGAAGTTGGGAAAGAGACTCCCTTGGATTTGGGGTCTCCCCTCTGGATTTGGGGTCTCCCCTTTGGATTTGGGGTCTCTCCTTTGGATTTGGGGTCTCCCCTCTGGATTTGGGGTCTCTCCTTTGGGTTTGGGGTCTCCCCTCTGGATTTGGGGTCTCCTCTCTGGATTTGGGGTTTCTCCTTTGGGTTTTGGGGTCTCCCCTTGGTATTTGGGGTCTCTCCTTTGGGTTTGGGGTCTCTCCTTTGGATTTTGGGGTCTCTCCTCTGGATTTGGGATTTTCCTGCGGATCTGGAAGCTCCTCCCTTGGATCTGGGATCCCGTGGATCACCAGGCTGGATCCAGCCCCATCCCTGCCCCGATCCCGGAGGATTCCTCGGGGATTGGGATGAGGGCGATCCCCTCACCCCTTCTCCCTCCCCTCTTCCCAGGGATCAGAGCCAACGAAAAGCTGCTGGGAATTTTGGGAGAGCCGACGCTCCTGCAGATTTCCCCGGAGCTCCAGGAGCTCACCAAGAAATTCGGGGAAGCCTCCTGGAAAAAAATCACGGAGGAGCCGCAGAAGAAGAAAATCCTGCTGAGGATTTCGGGCGGGAACGTCACGGAGTACGAGCGGGAGCGGATGAGATTCCACGAGGGGAATTTTTCCCTGGAAATCCTC